CATGTATTGGGTGAGACTTGTACTATCATGTATTGGGTGAGACTTCACCATATGTGCACCACTGAGAAATCCCGTTTTTCTTTGGTACCTTGGTGAGTAACTTGTACAATCATGTATTGGGTGAGACTTGTACTATCATGTATTGGGTGAGACTTCACCATTTGTGCACCACTGAGAAATCCCGTTTTTCTTTGGTACCTTGGTGAGTAACTTGTACTATCATGTATTGGGTGAGACTTGTACTATCATGTATTGGGTGAGACTTGTACTATTGTGTATTGGGTGAGACTTGTACTATCATGTATTGGGTGAGACTTGTACTATCGTGTATTGGGTGAGACTTGTACTATCATGTATTGGGTGAGACTTGTACTATCATGTACTGGGTGAGACTTGTACTATCATGTATTGGGTGAGACTTGTACTATCATGTATTGGGTGAGACTTGTACTATCATGTATTGGGTGAGACTTCACCACTGAGAAATCCCGTTTTTCTTTGGTATCTTGGTGAGTAACAATTTTAAGTCATAGATTTGGTTACTAATCAGACCGAGATCCCGCACGAGTGAACGGCACACCAAGATAAATTCAGGATGGAATCCCGGCCACTACCACCACAAACACGACCCTCTTTTCAGGACTTCCCTGAAGATGGCAGAAGATTAGCAACTGTAATGTCGGGTATAGACTAGATAGTAATCAGTATGTATTAAGAAATAAAAAACAAAGGTAACTAATTAATAAATAGACCTAGATGACAACGATGGATATCCTATCATCGCAATCATACAATCCTTTCAATCTTTATATGGATGACCCCCTTATTAGTAACTACAATTCGAGCACTGGATTAATGACCTTCTGACTCGAATATTTACCATTGTTTGACGCGGGTCTAATCACATCTGTCTAGTCAAGAAAGACTATTTCCATCCTAGTGCCTTTTCCGTCGTCTAAAGATAGTAATTTATAGAGTATTTAATTCTATTTTTACACGGTATAATCACGACTGTCGAGCCAAGACCCTTTCCTTTATTATCAATCATACTAAGATTAAATACTTAAAGCAAGTTCGACTCAGAGTACATGGACGTTGCTGAAGAACAGGTTGGAGTAAGGAACTTTAACGCCAGACAATAACTCTGTTGAAGGTCAAATTGGAGTGGCAATTTTAAATACGAAACGTTAGTCCTTTGAAGACCAGATTGGAGTAAGGAACTTTAACGCCAGACAATAACTCTGTTGAAGGTCAAATTGGAGTGGCAATTTTAAATACGAAACGTTAGTCCTTTGAAGACCAGATTGGAGTAAGGAACTTTAACGCCAGACAATGACTCTGTTGAAGGTCAAATTGGAGTGGCAATTTTAAATACGAAACGTTAGTCCTTTGAAGACCAGATTGGAGTAAGGAACTTTAACGCCAGACAATGACTCTGTTGAAGGTCAAATTGGAGTGGCAATTTTAAATACGAAACGTTAGTCCTTTGAAGACCAGATTGGAGTAACAACCATAGCTATCAGATAATAATT